CGTTGGGGGACCAGAAAGGCGGGAAGAGCAACATCTTTCAAACACCGTGGGCAAATCAACGCATTTTGCCTCTTCGGACCTTGCCCTCATGAAGGCCTCTTGGAGGTCTTCGGGGGCGTATTAGGGGCATCTGGGGCCGTGTGGAGGCTATCTTGGGCGTCTTTGGATGATCTTTCGGCAACTCGGGGCCCTCTTGGAGAGCCTTTTAGGGCCCTCTTGGCTTCGATTGGGGCCCTCTGTCGCCCAATGATGCGTTCGTCTGGGGCCAGTGGGGGAGGGTTCAATTGCCGGCATGGGGTCCCAGGGGTGGGGAATATGGGGGGGAACAATCTCGCACGCCACCCACAAGGGGTCGGCGAATTAGGTTGCCTTTTCGGGGCCAATGTTTTTCCCGACACCCGACGTCTGCGAGTGGAGTGGAATCCAATGCAGTGGGTAAAGATGGCAGGGAGGGGTAGGACGTTAGATATTTCGTGAGCGCACCTAGCCGTCCTCCCCCGTCTCCGCAATTACGCAGCATGTATACTACTCTCCTCTCTCCCCTGATTCCGTCCAGAAGATAACCGGCTCTCTCCGCGTATCACTTTTGTATAGGGCTGATGATTTGTTTACGTGACGTTCTGGGCAATCCGATTGTTTTCGGTGCTTTGAGTGGTGCTTCTGCTGCAGCGTGGGCATCATTTTCGGATTGGAGTTTAGTTTCCGTCGTTCAGAGCGGTGCTCTCGCACTATCGCGGGCCTCTTTTCGGGATCCGAGTCCTTTTTCATCGTTGTCGCTTTCCTGATTCCCCCTCCTTCGCCTTCGCCTTGTCATCCTGCTCCTCTCGCTCCTTCCACTCTGGGCTGCCGCTGTTCGTCCTCGTTCTTCTCCTCCTCCTCCTCCTCCTCCTCCTTTTCCTCCCGCTCCTCCTCCTGCTCATCTGCCAACTCCTCCTCCAATGTACGTATGCAGCTTCCTTTTTTCCCGATTGCGCACGGCACGATGGGATCCTCTTTGGAGGTCAGGTCTGCTATGACACGCGTCGGTGGACAAAACAGCCGCGCAATGATGGTCGGTCACGCGCAGAGAGGGGTAGGGGGAGGGGGGAAGGCTTCTTAGAAGGCGCGGGTCTTCTCTATACATGTAAGGCCGGCGTCTTCTAAGAAGCAGCTTCTTTCTAATGAGCCTTCCCCTCTCCCCCTACCCCCTCTTGCGCGCCGCCAAGATAGGGAAAGGATGGGTGAGAGTGGTAGGATGCCAAATATTTACGGCGCGAGCGCACGTGGCCTGTCCGTTGCCTTTTTCCTTCTCTCCATCCCTCTTCCTCTCTCTCCCTTCCTCCCTCCCTCCCTCCCCTTCGCCCTCCCTCCCTCCCTCCCTCCCTCCTCCTCCTCCTCCTCCTCCTCCTCCTCCTCCTCCTCCTCCTTCCTCCTTCCTCCTTCCTCCTTCCTCCTTCCTCCTCCTCCTCTTCCCTCCTCCCTCCTCCCTCCTCCCTCCTCCCTCCCTCCGCTTCCCTCCTCCTCCTCCTCCTCTCCTCCTCCTCCTCCTCCTCCTCCTCCTCCTCCTCCTCCTCCTCCTCCTCCTCCTCCTCCTCCTCCCCTCCTCCTCCCCCTCCCCTCCTCCTCCTCCTCCTCCTCCTCCTCCTCCTCCTCCTCCTCCTCCTCCTCCTCCTCCTCCTCTCTCCTCCTCCTTCCTCCTCCTCCTCCTCCTCCTCCTTTACCTCCTCCTCCTCCTCCTGCTCCTCCTCCCCCTCCTCCTCCTCCTCCTCCTGCTCCTCCTCCTCCTCCTGCTCCTCCTCCTCCTCATCCTTCTCCTCCTCCCTTTGCTCCTCCTCCTCCTCCTCCTCCTCTTCCCCCCTCCTCCTCCTTCTGCTCCTCCTCTTCCTCCGGTTCCTCCTCTTCCTCCTCCTCCTCCTCCTCCTCCTCCTCCTCCTCCTTCTCCACCTCCTGGCTCAAGCAGGGAGCCAGGAGAAATATCAAGGTTCGGGGCACAGTCGGCACGAATGCAGAAGGCCCTCTCGAGAAACAGGCGTGCCCTAATCCCTGATGTCAACTGAAGGCTTATCTGAGGAAGAGGATGAGGCGGAGGAAGAGGAGGAGGGGCTCTGGGGATACCCTAGGGAGAAGGAGGATCCAGGGGGAACCCCTGGATCCAGGTGGAGGATCCAGGGTGTCCCCGTTGCCTGTCCTCTTCACGCCCTCCCCGTCCTTGCGCCCCTCCGGCCCCTTGGAGCTGCCCCGTGGCTCCTCGGCGCCGCCTGGCCGCCTTCTCAGCACCCCGCCTTCCTCCCCTCCCTCCTCCCCCACTTCCCCCCGTCCCCCTCCCCTTTCTCAAGAGACAAGAGTCCACTCCTGGACCTCTCTGTGGGTGCTTCCTCTGGCGATGGTCTCGAACCAGGCCCGGCTGCTGCGACGAGACGGCTGCCTGGAGGTAAAGAAGGGACGGACCTGTAATTGTTCAAGTAAGAGGCCCGATGCACTTTAGGCATCTCCGTCTGCCCAGATCGCATTCCCGTTTGCCGCCGCGGCCTCCTGACGATCTTAGGCTTGAGGCTCGTTGGTTCAATGTTTGCGCATTTGTCTGGCGCAAGTAGATAAAAGCACAGTTGTCATGGCTTCCAGGGCGCCGCAACGCGCCTGGAGACACGAAACGCGTTCCGCCACGAAAGGCGCCCAGAGACCCCGATCCTCGCGCGTGCAAGCGGCGAGGGCCCGCCCCCGAGCATCGGCGTCGTGATTGCGTGTGCCTGGCTCCAAGGGCGACTCCTTTCCTGGCGGGCGGGGCACCGCCGCGGTGTCCCGCTCTGGCGCCCCCCGGGGCGCCCCCTTCCAGTGGGTTTGCACCTCCTGGGAGGAGGAGGAAAAGGAGGAGGAGGTGGAGGAGGAGGACCAGTGTAAACCCAAGAGTCATCAACGATGTTGGAATAAACCCTCCCTCCAAGCTCCCTCTTCATAGGCCCCTACAACAGTTCATGTCCATTGAAGGGACTGCCTCTTGAGAAGACAATTGTTTGAAGACCCTGACGCATGCCAAAGCATTGTTCTCAGGATTCCAACGCCACGGATCAACCTGATTGTTGCGTCTTAACATCTCGAGAGCCACATTATGAAAAGGAGCCGCCCTCAATCCGTCAAGCACTTTTTGATGTTTAGCAGGAGTGTGCGTCGCGCTAAGGCGAGAGCCACATTTTGAAGACGACCCGCCCTCGACCCGTGAAGCGGCTGTAAATCTTTAAAGCGAATGTGCGCCGCCCTAAGGCGAGAGCCACATTTTGAAAACGATCCGCCCTCAATATGTGAAACTGACGCATAAAAAAAAAAAGAAAGTGCGCCGCGCTAAGGCGAGAGCCACATTTTGAAGACGACTCGCCCTCCATCCGTGAAGCGGCTGCAAATCTTTAAAGCGAATGTGCGCCGCGCTAAGGCGAGAGCCACATTTTGGAAACGACCCGCCCTCAATTCGTGAAGCTGTTGCATTTTTAAAAAAAGAAAGTGCGCCGCGCTAAGGCGAGAGCCACATTTTTGAAGACGATCCGCCCTCCATCCGTGAAGCGGCTGCAAATCTTTAAAGCGAATGTGCGCCGCGCTAAGGTGAGAGCCACATTTTGAAGACGACCCGCTCTCCATCCGTGAAGTTGTGGCCAACTTTTAAGCTTCAGAGTCATACATGGTGATGAAGTCTCGGGCGAAACGCCCAGCCCGATCTAAAAACTGGCCTCGGGGTGCGACAGGGAGAAGTTATTGACACGGAGAAGGAATGGAGGAGGTTTAATTCAGCATCGTCGCTGGTGTTAAGTCGGGCCTGTCCCCCTACAGGAGGAACATCAAACAGTAATAAAAACATAGCCTGGGGTAGTTTTCTGTTTTGTGTGTATTTTCGGCATGTTTGGACTCTATGTTTGAATTGTCGTCCAAAACCCGCCTGTAGGGGGACATGCCCGACTTAACGCTAGTGCGTCCGTGGCCGGAAGCCAGCCTAAAGTAGCATGATTCGATGCATTGGCGTCCGGGCCAGCGTGATCCAGCATAATACCGGGCGCAATGTGGACTAATCCGGCTCAGGTCTTAACCAGGGCCACCACGAGGGTGCGAAGTTAGTCGCGCTTCGCGCTTCGCGCTTCGCGGCCTCGGCGATTTCAGAGCGAGGCGCGAGTCCCTCATCCTGTTTCGGGGGGGGGGGGGGGGGGGGGGCGCGCCAGCGTTAGGATAATCGCGCTTCGAGCTCCGCGGAGCGCGAAGCGCGAAGATGGTCGCCCAAGTTTCACTGGCCGAGTAGCCCGTGATCCTTCCCGTGGAGACCTCCCGTGATTTTGCACCCTGACCCCGCCGCCCCCCCTTAGACTCCGAGCCGCGATCCAGCTTCGGGCGTGTGCTGCCAGAAGCGCCCCCGGCCCAAGGTGCCCCCAGGATGCCTCGGGAGGCCCCTGCGGCCTCCAGAGCACCCCATCACGAGGCCCGGGGGGGCTCTTGGAGGTCCAACATGGCGCGGAAAACTGTTGGCACCCTGGGCCAGGGTCAGTTAAGCCGGGCACGTCCCTCTACACGAGGAATGTTCAAACATGTGTTTCACGCATACTCTGGGGACGATGTTTGTAGTCTTCTGATTATCTGTAGTTTTTCGCACGAGGCCCGCCCGCGGGAGGGCATGCCTGACCCGGGGCCAGGGGCGCCTTTCGTCCGAGAGGCCCGAAGCCCACCGCGTCACTCATTTTTGGGCTCGAGGGCCCATGGAGGCCCCAGGGGCCCCTGTTGGTGAGGTGATGCGTTTTTCCCGCGTGAGGACCCCTGGAGCTCATCGCCTCACCAGACGGAGCCCAGGACGAACGTCAGGGGCCGACTTGTTGCTGTGATGCAGCGCAGGTCTCGTGTCTCGCGGCCCCCCCGAGCCGGTCCGCCCCCGGAGGAGCCCGCCGCGGCCCCTCGGGCGCCCCCGCGCCGCCGTGCGGGCCTCGAGCTCGCGGCGCGGCTTCCTCTGCTGCCGCCTCGGGCTCCGCCGCGGTGCTCCCCCCTGGGGCCGCGCAGGGCTCCTGCAAGTACATGTGCGACAAGGAGGAGCTGAAGGACCCGAAGGACAAGTGGGCGTGCAAGGACCTCGTCCTCCCTCCTCCTCCTTCTCCTCCTCCTCCTCCTCTTCCTCCTCCCTCCCTCCTCCTCCCCTCCTCCCCCCTCCTCTTCCTCCTCCTCCCTCCTTCTCCCCTCCCCCTCCCCTCCCCCCCCCCTCCCCCTCCCCCTCCTTCTCCTCCTCCTCCTCCTCCTCCTCCTCCTCCTCCTCTTTCTTCATCCTCCCTCCTCCTTTCTCCTCATCCTCCCTCCTCCTTTGTCCTCGTCCTCCCTCTCCCTCCTCCTCCTCCTCCTCCTCCTCCTCCTCCTCCTCCTGCGGCGCCGGTCCCCGCACGGCAGGAGGGCCGGCAGGAGGGGCCTCGCATGTCCTTTTACGACCCAAGAGTGGCATGGTTCTATGTCGAGCTGGCCCGACTCGATGCCGAGGCTCGACGATCCGAAGTGGTCCGATGCCTGCGTGGCGCTTGCATGCTGGCTCGGCCGATCCGAGCCGATTTCGCCACTGTTCGCCGACGCGGCCCGATCCGGCGCACGTTCCGACCCGGTCCTATCTCACGAGCCGATCTCTGGCAGATCCGGCGAAGAGCGGCGGCGACCGCACCGCCCCGCGGAGAAGAGCGGCGGACCGGCTGGGTGCAGGGCGCTTTTCGTTCGCCTCCTCTCCCTCCCATCCCTCCCTTTCCTCTTCCCTTTTTTTCATTTGCGTCCTTCCGTCTCCCACTCACCCTCCTCCTCGTTGTCCTCCTCGTCCGTCTCCTCCCTCTCGCCCTCCCCTTCCCAGGGGCAACGATAGGGGGGGCTAGGCACAGGTGGGGATGCATCGACCCCTCCTGTGCCATTCCCCCCCCCTATCGTTCCCCCCCTCTTCTCCTGCTCCTCAGCCTCCTGCTCCTTGCCTCCCTCCGCACCGGAGGAGATCGGCGAGCGCACGCCCAAGGATCCGGACGCGGCCCCGCCCGGCCGAACTCGTGCGCGCGCGCGGGGGGGGCGCTCTGGCCGCCCCCGCCGCCGGCGCCCCTCGGGGTCGGGGCGGGGGAGAGCGGCGAGGGTCAGAGGAGGAGAAGGTACCCGCGCCTCTACCCCTCCCCTGGTTTTCCCCTTCTTCGGGCCTCCCGGGCGGCCCTCGTCGCCACCGCTGGGCTCGCCTCGAAGTCCTGGTCAGAACGCACCCCCGGAGAGGTCAGGGGAGTCGCGGTATGGGTGCCTCTTGATATTCTCAGAGAGGAGAGGGGGGTGGGGGCGTGTGAGTCGGCGGTCAGCGACGGGGGGGAGTGAGCAGGAGAAAGCCTTCTCAGAAGGCGGCGGGGCTTCTCAGAAGGCCTCGGGCCCTCCGAGGGGCTTTTTTGGTGTCTTCGGGGATGGCTCAGAGAAAACCTTTCGGAAAGCCAGGGGGCTTCCGAGCCTTCTGAGAAGGCCCGCCCCTTCTCACTTCCCCCCGGGCTCGCTTCCGAGTGAGGAAGTGGAGACGGAGGGAGGATGGAGGAGGGGGGAGGGAGGGAGGAGGGAGGAGGGGAGGAGGAGGCAGGATGAAGGAGGGAGGAGAGGAGGAGGGAGGAGGGGAGGAGGGGAATATCGTCTCGCTGCCGCTGGGATGTTGCGCGGAACTCACAAAGGAAAAGAAGGGTCGTCCCAGGCATCGGGGCGGAGCCCGCACCCGGGTCTCAGGAAGATGCGGTGCGCATCGGCCCTGCTGTGACATGGATGACGTCGTGCAGCCCCTCATGGCCCCAGCTGCCGATATTGTTGAACACATGAGAGTGTGCGCCGGCATATTTGAGGACGTTTTCTTCCGCCACGATTTGGTCATCAACTTTAAACGGGGGAAACCATACACTTTGTTTAGGTGTGCTGGCAAAACGCTTTTTTGTTGATGACAATGGTCTGATATGCTTCGATTCGCAAGGTGCTCATAATCATCTTGTTGCAAACGTCGCAACACAAGCACGTCGGCACTGTTCTGTGTTCGATTGGCTCGATACACCCTGAAATAAATGACAGTTCGGGCCATGCAGGGGGTGTTCAGGCAACTGCGTCACAGCGTGCTTTAGCGCAGAAGCGTTCCTGTTGAGACCCGGCTTGCGAAGTTTGCACCAATCTAGCACTTGGCCGCATATATTTGCAGCTGAGCTGTTAAGAGTGCAAACAGCTGTGATGCAAGTCTATTCGCCCGCACTTCGGGAAGATTGTGCGCTTTGTGCCGTCGCGCGAGGCCATTGCGCATGCGGGCGGGGTGTCATTGCTCCCGCGATCATGATTCTCTACAGGCGCTTGTGCTTGTTCACGCGTGTGTGTCTGCGCACGCCGCTTTTATGTGTGTCATCCTTTCGCATGCCGTTGGTGTGCGCAGATCGTGGATACAGGCAGTGTCGGAGGATTTGGCGTTTCTGGTCTCACGTGCGGAAGCGTTTGCCGAGTGCGCGCCGCAGCCAATCGATCGGTGGATCGCTGAGATCCGCACGCATCCCAAACGTCTCAGACCCTGTTCGAGAGCTGCGAAGAGAACGCGAGGCGAATCGCCCGCAATCGTGGGGGAAACCCGCCGCGTGGCCGAAGTCAATCATGTCTTCGCTTGCCAGGATTGTTCCTACACCTGTGCCTCATCAGCTGGCAATCCATGCTTTCAGCGTGCATGGTGTCTGGCGCCGCGCACCTGAGCTCACTGATGCGGTGCACTGTCCCGCGTGTATGCACTGTTGTCACACCCGTGTGAGAGTCATTACTCATCTTGAAGAGCGTTCGGAGAGGTGCCGCGCTGTCGTCCTGCAGTGCTTACCGCTTACCACGATTGCCAGATATCGTCGTGGCGGGCCATGACAGGCGGGGCGCGGAGGCCGCCAGAGGCCGTGCAAGGAAGGGCCAGGGACCGTGCCATGCGGACGCCCCCCCTGCCTGTCGCTCGGTTGGGCCTTTAACCAGGGAGGCATACGAAGCTGGCTTGAGCCACAAGTCCCCCTTCCATTCTTCCACCTTCGAGTGAAGCTGGGTCGAGACGCATCCAGGGGAGTGGCGCCTCGATTTCTGTACTGTCCCACCTGCCCCCTTTTTCCGGTGCGCGTTTTCCTTCACAGGCGGGCGCGCCCCAAACCACACGACACGAACGAGCGTTATATATATATATATAAATATAGATACAGTATTATATAATATGATCTAATATGATATAAAATTATATAGTAAAATAAGATAATATATAACATATAGTAAAT